AGAAAACGCTGAGGTTAATCTTGAGGATTTATTTCAACGTTTTATACTTTCAGCCTTTTCTTTAAGAGCCTTAAAGTTTAGCAACTACCTATTATTATTACTCTCAGATATAATTCTGATGTAATTTTGTATATTTTATGTGAAAAATATATTGCTTCATATTAATTTTAATACACAAATGCGTTATGTAAGTTGCGATTATTTGTAGTGAACGTGCTTTTATAATTATACAGTCCTGTTTTTTTTTTGTTAATTCACCGAATTGAATTGATAAAAATTAATAAATGGTTCTGATAATATATAATGTCATGGGATTATGTATCACTAGCTTTTGACTTCGTCTTTGTACAGTACGGAATTGGGCGGAGAGAAATTTACATAATGTATTAAAATAATAGATATGGTGACCAATATACATTTAAAGCTTTCTATGTACGTTTGTTTGTTTTTCAGTGATCGAAAAAATAGTAAACGCATTGAAATTAAAAACACACACAGTGAAAGTCAAGTGCAAAATCTTGTATAGTATATATGTAATTAAAATAATGAATTGTATGAATTGTAATGATGCTAAAGTCGCTTCTGATGATCAGTAGCAAATAATGAAATACTGTAAAAAACACATTTATTATAAAAAAAATATTTGAATGTGAAAGTCAAAAATATATAGTGGTTCCGATGGCTTCTTGTTGTAGATATCCATGGGTGACGGTGAATAATTTCCATTAGTTTGCCCCTTTGGGTAATATAAAAAAAAAGTTGTCGATAACATTGTGTTATTACAATAACAAAAGTAATCAATGAAATAGAAAATAATAAATTTTAATTATATATTGATTCATAGTCAATGTAAGAAATAACTTTTATCACTTCGTTGATCTCCATAATTCTTTTATTATAAAGCTAGATGTACAAATGTTCAAAGGTGACCCATCGGTGAAGTCCAGCCGTTTTATTAGTCTCTATAACTAAAAGTTATATGTCGTATAAGGATTGAAAAGGGCCTGATAGAGTACGGGCGATTTGTGAACATTGGGAACGTCAGCACTGCCCTTTATAACACTGGAGATATGGCGACTTGACGGTTGATTGCTTTCGGGAAATTGTTGGGGATTTGTAACCAAATATCCTTGGTGTGCTTTGAGATTTCTTCGGTAAATGATGTTTGGTTGTTACTTAGTTCGTCTTATATCATTAACTAACTGTGAGTGAATTAAATTACAGCTTATTTTATGTAAAAACGATTGTAAGAACAGAAATGATTTCGATAAAAAATATGGTATTAGAAAAAGTGACTAAAATTTTAATGACTGCTTACCAATTTTGCTACATTTTACATTTCTTTAAATAACCTCTTTAAACTCTCGTGAAAATGAGAAAAAAATTCCTATTTACACTATATTTATAATGAGTCATGTTCAAGGTTTAAAGTTATAAATATTTATTATTATGTTACTAGTTTAAGTTTCCTATGTAAGTGAACTTTGTTCTCAATGGGAAATAAATCATCTCTAAATCATCTCTTAATATCAACAGATCGTAACATCAGCTTTATTAATCTCATTTAGTACCTGAACGTAAAACAGATTTCGCATGAAGTATCAACAATAATAAATATTTAAAAAAAATATATATAATTTAACTCCCTTTATTTTAATTGATAATAAAGAAGAAATAAATGATTATGTCTCTGTAGATAACTTTTAAACGTGATATATTTTTCATACACATTTTATTTAAAATTTTATATATTTAAAAGATTTTTCTCTTGTACCTAATGTATCATATTTTAGTGTCATTGATTGGATGAAGGGAAAGTTGCAAACATATAACACATACACTCCCATTTACCCACTCATATATAATTAAACATATATAAATACAATCTTCCTTTTTTGTATTTGCCACAGTCGATTAAAAATAGAACAAATATTTATTTTAATATCAATATTTAATGCAGCGGATGTTAAAATATTTTTTTTATATATAAATAGCTTGCTAATATAATGGTTAAATATATAGGTAGTACTTACTAACTCGAGTCAGAACACAACAATTTTATTTGTAGCACCTTCGATTCTTGACCTTATAAATGATTTTTTTACATTAATATATATTTTCTATATAAATGACTCAAACTTGTGAATGCTATAGCTTGATTTAAGGTTTATGAATAGTAAACGAAAAAATGAAAATATATTTGTAGGTTTTCATTTCATAGTTTTAGCCTAAAGACGAGGAGACAAGTTTAAGTGATTCCTGAGCTTATCCTATGTTCTAGATCGTCTTAGGATTTACTACGAAATGTTAACAGAGCTGACGTTTGGCTTACTCCTTATAGATAGTCATTTATAACTTGTGAACTAAGACGACGATTTGGAATATCTTTAACACAATCTTGATTATTTAACACAAGTAAAGTAAATAAATATACCTATATAAATTCATGTATTATCATTTTTTATGCTAAAGGGGGCAACCGAGCAGATGGCCTACCTCATGGAGGTAGTACAATCATCGAATGACATCCACAACATAGTTTTGAGGACGCGTTGCCACCCCTGATTAGAGAAAAGGAAGAGGAAAAGGTGGGAAAAGGAGGGAAAAGAGAAGGGATAGGAAAGGGTGGGAAAAGGGAAAGGGCAACCGGCTCTCTCACTCCTCGAACGAAACATAGCCATTAAAGTTTACTTCACGCTGATCTTCTGTGAGAGGGTTGTACTTCCCCGGTCGAGCCAGCCCTTGTTTGAACTGAAGTCGTATGACCACAGCTAGGCTCTACCACCTCAAATTAAATCCAGCAAACTTGCTGGATTAAAACCCACTCTTTCAAGTATATAAAGGTGCCGCCTCTATGATCAATAAGCTACAATGCTCTTAGTGGAGTGTAATTTTTTTTTGAGTTATAATAATCTTTATTTAGCGACAGTGCTATTGGTTGTTACTGCGACCTAGATTTCATCACACGTTTTTATAAAGTGTTACATTTTTTATGTCATTAGAGAATAAAGTCGCATTTTCTATTAATTAAACGTTTTACTGAAAAAGCAATGTAAGTAATTCTATTTTTCTAGAGAAGACTCGACGTAATGGATAAAATGTAAGAGCTTGTTTCATCTACAAATATTATCCGTGAAAATTGTATTAATTCTTACTTTATAATTTTAATTGAAAGAAGTAATTATCAAAGACATTACAGTTGTGTTTATAGTAACTTTTTATCTCATTTTATATTAAATAACACGAGTAATATTTATGTTCATATTAAAATTTCTTTGAGAAAGCAAAAAAATTTACTGAAAGTTTGCTTTGTGCTTGTTTATAAAAGATATGATCGGAATTTAAAAGATCAAGATTTTAACTACATTTATCGTTTTAAATCAAACAGTAACATTAATAAACATTGCTTGTATCAAATAATAGAAAAATTACATAAATGTTTAGAATTTATATAATAGACAATTTTCCAACACAAAATATATTTATTTTTTATTTGTTTAATTTGATTATTTTGTGCTTTACTGACCATTTAGCGTCAAGATTTAATAAATTACACCTGTTTATGTTGAATAAATTGTATTTCTAATTAAAATTATCAATATTCATGACAATTTTAAATATTTTTCAAATGGTAGTTTTAAAAAATATTTATTTATGTTTATTAATCAAAGATAGCTAAGAACCATAACAAGGAAACTGGCTTGAAATTAAAAAAAGCCACATCTAAATAGGACGATCCCTTTGGGAGTTACAATACCACAAACATATATACACACACAAGCACACACACACACAAACAGACGTAGCTTTAAACTTATAACACCTCTCTTTTTGCGTCGTGGTTTAAAGTTAAGATTAAATAGAATTAGTAACCAGAGCGGGAACCCACTTATAACTTAGACGGGTTTCAATTAGTTTCACAGAAAATATATACATTTATGCAATGCTTTTGTTGTGGTATAAAATACATATATACTGATATTTATAGAGGTTGAGTTTTATTTTAATTATATTATTAAAAAACATATCTGTGATGATTTTTTAATAAATATTTAGTTAGTGTTATAAATTTGACGTCGATATCTTGGCCTTCTGTTTGTATAAATATATTGTAATTTAAAAAAATCTATGAAGACGAAAATTATATGAATAAAAGATGTGAATTTTCCGAAGAAACTGTAATAAGTTATGTATGGATGCACGACAACTGCGCACATTTCTTTTATTTACGATAAATGTTGAACGTAATTTTACATCTATTGTATGTACATATGTTAAAACAGTATTTTCTGTAATACTTATGCATTTGAATATGTAACGGAATATATATGTATACCGGTCTATTTAACGCATATTATGAAGGCGCCAACTGTGGCTAAACGATAATCATGTACATAACGTTTCTTGGCATAGTCCACAATATTAACAGTCTATTAATATTTGGGTACTAAACCAACCCCATACTATTTAATTATTATTTAAAGATCAGTATTATAAAGAAGTCACCATTACCATTTCTTTGTTGGAATTTCATTGTATTAAAAGTCATATATCGTTTGTCTTAATTGTAAGATAAGTAATATATTAGGGGCTATCCATAAAGTACGTCACACGTAAAGGGGGGGGAGGGGGTCGACAAAGTGTGACATGGTGTGACAAGGGGTGGGAGGGGTCCTAAGTTTCGTGACATCACATTTCAAAATCTAGAGGTACTAATCGCGTAATTTGAAATATTAATTAAACTAAAAAATATGTCCAACTCTATCTTTAGGGCAATACGGTTTAAATTGTTTTGTTGACAAGTTCATAGCCGCTTCTGACACGTGCCGATCGCCGACGAGCCCTTTGACTAATGCCGCCAAATGCACCGCACCTCGCGTAGGTAATGTTTTTGTTTTTATATTTTCATTCGACAATTTGCTTTCGCTGAGGGAACGACGTCGTTTTTTTAGTTGTGCTATTTTGTGGATATAAACATAGTTTAATAAATCAAGTTCAAAATGAACAAAAAAATAGATTTAGGTAATCTTTACCGTAAATTATACGAAACATACAGTGCGACTTACGCTGATAAAAAAAAACAGCATATACAGGAAGAAGTTAATACCTTATGGAAAATTTTGAAAAGTAGTGACAATATCGAAGGTGATGTGGAATTGAAAATCAAAGAGCTGCAGATACAAATGACGAAAAAAAAAGCGACACTAATGAATTTTTTTTCGAAAATTCCTTCGGCGTCAATATCACGAATAAAACTAGAGCGGGAAAAGGAGGGAAAAGTACAAGTAAGTTATTACGAATTTAATTACAATCCTTAATTATCACGCTCAGGAGTCAAAGATGGACGCGGACTTGAATCACATCGCACGCGCCGCATTAGGTACTAATAATTATTTAAGACTAGCTTTCCGCTCGTAGTTTTGCCCGCGTGTACTACGATTATGTGTTTGTTTTTACACCTACGGTTTCATAGGACTTCATACAAGTAATTCTAATATGGTGCGGTTCAAGACCGCGGTATAAAAAGTAACGATATAATAATATTAATTGGAATTTTATTACAATATAACATATAATTTGCAGGGAAATACTAACGAAGGTCAGACAGCACTACCAGAAGACACTGATATGGTTAATATACCGTCAAGTGAAAGTCAGCTTCAAACAATACCTAAACCAACGCCTAGTCAGAGTGCTTCACGGAATAAAATTGTAGTTTTAGAATCTGAACTCAATAGCTTGTTGTTAGCACGCGATACTGGTATAGCCTCAAATGAAGCAATAAAAAAAATCTCAACTTTAAAGAAAAATATTCAGCAGGAAAAAAATATATTAAAGCGAAAGATTAGCGCAGCAGAAAGACAGAAAAAAAGTCGTGATTTTAAAAAACAAAAAATTGTAGAACTTTGCGAAAAAAATGCCGATTTAGCCGCAACACTAAAACTTCGAGATACTTTTGGGCGGCCTAGAATAGAAGAAACACAATCCGGTTTACTTGGAGTCATAAAGGACCTTGCAGTTTTTGGTGGCGCAGCTGATGATCGACGTCGCACTGAAGCTATAAGGTGCTGTAAAACATTAGACGACTTACAAGCCGAACTTTGTAAACTGGGATATACTATCAGTCGATCAGGGTTATACTTGAGACTTCTGCCCAGACGAGTCAATACAGAGGAAGGAAAAAGACATGTCGTAACTGTTCCTGTCAAACTATGCAAACCCGACTCTACGCTACATATAAAACATCAAGATGGTCCATTTTGTACTGCGACGATAAGAAACCTTGAATCGTTAGCTTTAATTTTGGGCCCTGAACAAGTTTTCTTTTTATCGATGGATGACAAAGCACGCGTGCCATTAGGTATTACAGCAGCAAACGCTCAAGCACCAATATTAATGCACCTTGATTATCGTGTAAAATTACCGGATCATGATTTCGTGGTTGCGGAAAAACATAAAAACTTATTCCCTCTGTTTATGCAGGTATTGTAGTAAAGAAAGATGGTGAAGGAAAACCTGAAGCTGTGACACATTCCGGGCCTACATATGTAGCAATTCGCAGTGGAAAGCATTCGTCCTCTAATGCAGAGACTCATGCCACAGATATACACAAACTTACTGAAATATCGGCCTTCGAGAACTTCATGAAAACTCGAGAAGGTTTTGTAAAACCCGTATTTATTTTTACTTGCGATGGTGGTCCCGACGAAAATCCAAGATACGAGCGAGTTATAATTTCAGTTATACAACATTTTAAAGATTTTGATTTGGATGCTGTTTACATTGCCACAAATGCCCCAGGAAGAAGTGCTTTTAACAGAGTAGAACGACGAATGGCACCTCTTAGTCGTGAACTTACTGGTGTTGTATTAAAACACGATAATTTCGGTTCACATCTCGATTCCAGTAATAAAACTACTGACCTGGACTTGGAAAAAAGAAACTTTGAGAGTGCAGGCACAGTACTGAGTAATATTTGGAGCCAATTGGTCATTGATGGATATCCTGTGGTTGCCAAATATATTATGCCTACAGAAACTAGACTGGATGTTGAACAGGCTAAGGCATTGAAACGTGATGCGATTTGGTACGCAAAGCATGTCCGGGAATCACAATATTTACTGCAAATAGTAAAATGTGAAGTGGTTTCGTGCTGTGGTGTGCAACGATCTAGTCTTCGGCGACTACTACGAGAGGGTTTTTTGCCACCACCTGTTTTAATTAAACAGACGTCAAGCGGGTACATAACAACAGAAAAGGATGATATCGAAAGTAAATTCGCTCCACTGTTACTTCAATTATCTTTAAAACTGAGTGCGTCATCACATTTAAAGCAAGTACCGTATGATAGTTACTGCCCTAGTATTGAGGGATACTTGTGTAAGCGATCATGCGGCTTCTGTGGTCTATATTTTGCATCATATAAAGCCACTAACCTACACAAACAACTTCATAAGATTAAGATTCCCATTGCAAAGATACGCCCTCAAAGAATAGCAGCTAGACGTGCCAGAGAAATTCTTTGCTTGGATATTAATGATGATGCCTTATGGTTGGATGAAAAAGATGTTGACACCACAAATGTTCCTGACGTGAAAAACGAAGTGAACTGTGAAGTGACTGCCATGCCAGTCATAAATAATTTAAAGGACTGGGTTCAAAGTCCATGGACTGAAGTTGATTGAGTTTCTTTTTCTTCTTTTTCTTTATATTCATTACTTTATTTTTTGTTATTGTTTCAAATATTTGATTTCATAAAAAAGTACTTAATTTAAATGGAAATAAAACTAATGTCGGAACTGCTGTTTTAATTTAATAATTTTTCGATTTTGAATTGCAAAACATGTGACGTCACACTAGGGAGGGGGGGGTCTCAGAAATGTGACCACCTGTGACAAGGACGGGGGAGGGCTCAAAAACTCATGAAATTAGTGTGACGTACTTTATGGATGGCCCCTTATATTACGATGTCGTATTTTCGAATGTATGTACATATGTAGTTCTTCTTGCTGAGTTTTCTTTAAATTGATAGATAAACATTAAGTTAAAGTTAAAAAATAAAATGTGATGAGATCTAAGACATCTCGTCTGCCCGCGATCACGGTTACTGAAAAGTAGCCGAAACGTCGGGAGTATGTAGTTTTCTAATTAAAACTAAAACGCGAAGTAAAATCCGAAAAATATTAGTTTCATTTAAATAAAATGTGACCAAAGAATTATGTGGAAATAAATAAGTAAAGATTAACTATTACTTCCCAATTTATCAAAATGTACAATTAAAGATAAATCCCTTTAAATAACACGGATAAAATATAGAAGATGCTTTTATAAGAATTTAAAATACAAGAGGACTGATTTTATATGACTGACTTAATTTTGAGAAACTCGAGAGATTATTGGAGAAGATGACCAAAAAAATGATATTGAATATTAATATAGTAAAATTTATTGTAATTTTATTAAAGTTTAAGGTTTGTATACATCCTACTTCCTAAGTTAATCGAGATAAGACGATGACTGTCTTGGCTCTTACAAAAAGACTTTTCCCAAATAAACATTGCTTTTATGTTTATTATTAAAATTTGTGATGATAAATTAATTATTTTATAAATGGGTAACTAAACCTTAATTGTTATTAAACTTATAAATATATGTACATATATTTCTTGGCGGATTTTTTTTCTGTGTTATATAAAAGTCCGTTAATTTGCTACTGATCTTAACTACAAATTACTACTATATATTTCCTAACTACTGCATTACAAATATCTAAAAACTCATCTAGCATCAACGTTTTCTCGTTGATTTCATCAAATAATAATATGTGTAAAAAAATTAACATCTACATATATACTTTGTTAAGCATCATATGAAGCAACAGTTTCTTTATATTATATTTATAAAAAGGGAATATAATATAAATTATGTAATTAATATATATATTTCATTTACAGGAAAAGACATCTTCAATTTGATAAAACATATATATATCGGATTTATTACAAATTTTTTGTTTTTAAAGAGAGAGACGCCAGCCTCGCTGACGTAACTTATGTTACTTCTTCTAGAGAGTTCCATGATATTTTAAAATGAAACTTCAATTGTTCTTAATGCTCCTGTATTTCTCGAAGGTTCTTCATAATCACATACTTCAATGATACGCACTCACTGAACTCTGAATTCTCAATTCTAAATTCTGCCGTCGTGCGTCCAGGCGTCATATTTATAACAAGATTTAAACATAGTTCTATTCTCCTTTTAAGCAACCTTTGATTTCGTTTTACTTTTAACAATAATCATAAATACTAATGAGGTTTAATAAGAATTAATGACAGCCTCAAATTATTTTAAAGTCGCATCCGTTATTAAAGCTGGTAGCACCGATATATACATATGTATATATTACATACGTACAATAAAATTAAGAACAGTGTATTCATGTGATGTTTAAGTAAAATTAATTAATTTGTATTTGTTGTGTAATTTTTATTTCACCTATCTCGAGATTATACGGCAACGACAAAACTAATTAATAATGATCAGAGAAAAATTGTTAAATTAATACTCTCACACTAATATCGACGGTCAACATGACTGAAAAAATTAATAGTTTTTTCAGATTTTACATGAAAATTCATAAATATATATACAATGTGTAATAAATAACTTATTAAATTGAAAACAGTCTATAAACATCCTGCACACCTAGTGGTTGGAGGCCCGCCTTTCATGCATGAGGGCGCGGGTTCGAAGCCTGGCAAGTACCAATGTGATTTTTCCGAGTGGCATGTACTTTCTAAGAGTATTTAGACACCACTGACCGAAGATGAAGGATAACTTCGTGAAGAAACCTGGACTTATAATTTTAAAATTATAAGTTTGAAATCGCCAATCCGCCTTCAGCAAGTCTGGTGATTAATGCTCAAACGTTCTCCATGTGAGGCCACTACTCAGCAGACGGCTCTGATATAGGCTGGTGATGATGATAATGATAAAAATAATATATCAATAAATAAGGCGACAATTTACTGACCATTTTGTTTGCTGTTTACGAATCGGCTATAATTAAAACGGATTAAATGATGAATCTAAAATGGTTTTCTTATTAATTTTACGACAATAAATACAAATTTTTTTAACTGAGTTTGTAAATATGATTATTTAACTTCAAATATTATATGTATACATACGTTTATGAAGAATACATCTATAATACAAGTGTGTTTGTTACACACAAGTCATATCAAAGCTAATCACAAGTCTGACCGAGCAGGGTTTAGTTCACTATCTGTTTACTGAGCAGGCATTCAGTCTTACTGTTTGTATCGTACATACACGGTGGAAGACATTCATATGATATTAGTGACTATTTTCACTTAAATTATCGATTTATTAGACTAAATAAACATTTTGTTCCTTGTTCTTCATAGATATGTGTATCAAATTATTTGAATGAATTTCGAAAGCATTTAAAATTTTATGTGAATATTGAAACAATTAAGCTTTAATTTATATTTTATTATTTATTTTAGTTTTTGTTTATTTTATATATTTAATTAATTTTGGATTAGAAATATATTGAATCCGTAAATAATTCATTTCTAAAATGAATAAAATATGTTTGTTTATTTATATTATATTCAAAAAGCCTCGTACAGTAAATGCTGCACTAATTTTATTATATATATTTTATTTGCAATTTTAATCATCGTGTTTCTATTCCCTTATTCCACTTATTTAAAATAAAATGATAAAAACATGTTTTAACATAATCCAAATATCTACCTTGACTTGCAAAAACTGCTAATCCACCAGCAGAGCACAGGCTGTACTCCAAGTGGTCTGTTTTCTCTGCAGAATTGTACTGATCGGCGCTAACGCTGGACTTACTTGGACTCTGTACAGAGTACAGAGAAATATTCACTTCTGCCTCTAATATGGAATCTCACATCCGTTTTTAATGTTTCATTGAAGAACGGTGTTCTCTAGCATATGAAGCCTTAATAGTACAATCGTATATCGATAGATTTAGTAGCTAAGGACCATTATTTTTGTCAATAAAGTCTTTTTTAGTACTATAATAATATAGCATATTAGGAGATCAAACAATTTGCACTGCATCTATAAAAAGATGATGTGTCTTTTGAATTAAAATACTTATCGATCGGTTACAAAAATATATTACTTTTAATAAAAGAAAAGAATTTCCCGAAGTACTATAATTATGTGTCGGTGGACGCAACACCTGTTCACGTTTCTATGACTTATGACATTTGTGGAATATTATTTTTCATCCATTGTATCTAAAAATAACATTGTCTGTCAAATGTATGAAATACAATCAGATTGTAATATTCAGATTACTTCTGTGTTATGTGTTCACCAACTGTGGCTTAGCGATAATTATCTTCGCGCTATTTCATGGTATATTAACGTTGGTTTATGTATACATAGTAAATCAAAGCGTGTTTCACGTTATTTCGTTTTCAGTGCTATAAACAATACCTAATAAACGTGCAACCAAGCCTCTTATATACTGTTATCGTGTTGCAATTTCGCTACAAGCTCAAATATGCAAAAATATTTATTGTTTTAGTGGATTCCGAATATATATTATAATTTTTTTAACCTATCAGAGCTTACTGCGGAGCAAAAGCCTCTTTATTTCATGGAGAAGGTTTGAGCATTAATCACCACCCTTGCTCAAGACGGGTTGTTGATTTCAGACTTTTAATTGTGAAATTACAAGTCCAGGTTTCCTCACGATGTTTTCCTTCACCGACTATCAGTGATGTCTAAATACTCTTAGAAAGTAGATATGACTCGGAAAAATCACATTGTTAGTGCCAGTATCGAACCCGCACCCTCGTGCATGAGAGATTTTCCATTTAACCTTTTATAGAGTGTATTAAATATTAAAATTAAAAAGGCTATAGCAAGGATAATTTACTATTGTGAACATATGGCCAGGAAACGTGTACATATTTTAATATGATTCTGATGAACATAGTACTTTTATTACTTTCTTTTTTTCTGTTTTATATCGTTATCAAGTAAATTTAATTCATTTTATCCGGTAACATAGTTTTGTTATATATACACCAGAACAATATGTTTCAACCTAATACTTATTGAATGGAAGTGAATATAATAGACATATCAATAAAGAGCAGATGGATCTTTGGGTGAATATACGGAATATCATATAACATAGCTAATGTTTCAAAACTATACGCCATGCTTATACTACTGTATATATTTGTATCAAAAGCTAATATGAGGTAAAAGATCTGCACTTTTCAAATGAGGTAAAAAATCAGCAATCAAAAAGTTTTATTGAAATGCTTGTTTTATTGAAATGCTTGTTTTCTAAAAAGAAAATAAAAGTTTTTAAATTTATATTCTTTGTCGGAGTGAATACCTTTTATTTGCGTAGTTAATCATATTTAAGGGTACTTAAATTTATAAGACGTCACTACCAAACTACATAACCACCTACGTAGCTACCTCTGCAAGCGCTGTCACGACAGTGAGTGTTGGTTGGTATAAATAGATGTGAGGATACATATTAAAATATTCTCGCTCGAGCCATGGTACTATCAGATCTCTTCGAAATAAAGGATTCGTCAAATCGTCTACAAGGATACCTTGACTATCCTGGACCCTGACGACAGTTAAGAAGAAA